TCCAGTGGTTTTGTACGTTTCAGGTAATTAAGATTTAGCACTGCTAATTCATATAAGTAATTCAAGCATTTAAGGTTTGGTCAAGCAAAGGTAAGGTTTAAATCCGACAGTTTCTTTTTCAGGTTTCCATTAATGATGGTGCTGCTGCAATTATGCTTTTATTAAGCTTCGGAGTATTACGATCAAAGCATTACAGCGCAAAAAATAAAAGCTCCTAAAAAATACCGTGGAAATATGCAAACCTTAGCAAGGGTCCCCTCGACACAATAACCAGCTATGATACAACCATTTTTAGAATCCGTACACCAGTTCTCAAAAAGCTCTCTGCTGAGACCATTCTGCAACATACCTGGCGAAGCAAGCACAACACATGGACCTACATCCTCAAAATGATCGATACTCTGCAAATTGGGCTAATTTTTAAAAGCCTTTCGTAAATCAAATCTTGAAATCTCGATAATTGAATGAATAGTTTATGTTAGAAACCATTATACTTATTCCAAAGTGTGATAAAATCTTTTGTATCCATAACAGCAGATGGAGTATTCAACAAAATTTTCTAATAGTCAGGTGAAATTCTAAAACTCACTGATAGTATAATCAGGTACTAAGAAAACCATTATTTGAGAGCAAATAATTTTACCTTTAAGTTGGAAACATGTTTAAAAACGAATGGATTATTCAATGCTATTTGCTTCTGTATTCGACTGTTCATACCACTCACAAATGTTTGATACACAGCCATACATTTTTTCGCCAAAGAACTTGCATCTAAAAGTAATGTCTCTTCATAACTAAATACTAAAATCAGGTTCCAAATGAGTTCTTTGGAGAAGCATGCCTTATCAGAATAAAAATAGATGAATTATAGTATCATAATATGGATCCTAGCCATAATAACAAAAGCATTATTCACTATCAAAAAAGATTAATCTTCTATATGTTGAGCTCAATGACGAACTTTTCGACAGATTAACAAAGAATAGACTTATTCTAAAAAATATGAGACTATGTGAATATCTTTTTTAAATTTTTGACATTTTTAACGCGATCTAGCAATTTGTAGGACTAATAATTACTCAAGAAATTTTTAATGCATTATATTCACTTTTGCTGAAAACCACGATGTTTAGTGCAATCAAATCGCGTGGTATCAAAACCCCATGTCATAGCATTTGCTGTATACTACTTGTCGCCTACAATGATTAATTCATAATCTCCATGATTTGTGAATTCGGAATTTTTTTAATTGAAAAAAAAATAATTCTCAACTAACAATATACTGGAATATCTTGCAATTCAGAATGAGCCTCCCAATACTCGTCTAAAATAAGAAGCAACTCTTGAGCCCGTCCGAGCGCAAACGCAGGAATGAGACAGCGTCCTCCTCGTACAACGATTTCATGGACAATACTTGTAAACCTGAAAATCTCAATGATGTATGGTTAAAACGACTGGAAGTCTATTTATCAAAGCTTCTGTATCCATTATTTTCAAAACACTAAATCTTCTTGTCTTTTATATGAATAAACCTGCTTCTTTCTTTGTTCCTTACCAATTCCAAGTGCAAAAAACTGAAAGTATCGTTAGTGCTAGTTGATTTAATCTGTTAACAGGTTAAATTAACAATTTTATTTAACAATCCATTTTGAAATATTAGGTTGAAAGTTACATAGTCTCACATACAACTATGATTACATCCTTGAACTTCAACCTTGACATATGTTCTAAATTCTGCACCTTTTTTCCCTTTCGTCCCGGCTCTCGTGAATCTGCGTTCCATAAGTTGATTCACAAATCAAAACATCCGGTGATACAGTAGGCAATTCTGCGGCACACAAATGACGATCTTCAAGCCTTGAAAAATCTCCTGTGTACAATATCCTAACACCAGCAATTTCAATCATGAACATGCAGGCACCCAAAACATGGCCCGCAACATGACACCAAAATTTTATACCATTCACTTCTTTTTGCTCGTGAAAATCAATTACCTAAATAAGGAAAAGCACAAAATTGGTATATGTTGACACTAGGATAATATTAACCAAATTACTAGATTGTTCACAAGTAAAGTGAATTAAATTAGCATTTGCTTTTGTAAAGAACGGACAGGAAAGTACACAGCCTATATAATTAGAAATTAGAAAGACTTGCTTCTTATATATGGAAAAGTTTTCAAGCACAAGTAAGTAAAAAATAAGTGGCAAAGCTGACAATAAATTTTAGCATGGGAACCCTTATGTTTTAGCTTCACCCAAAAAAATAGAATTAGTATACGATCAAAAAGCAAAACTGGTTATGAATATCCCTAACCTCAATTTTTTCCATACTTTTTTCCAAATCCTCTTCATTATAAAGCATTCGGCTATCACTTGAACCACCATATTTCGAAACTTTCAGATAGTCACCAATTGACATACGATAAATAGCTTTCGTTGCATGTGTCATGAAACATCGACCACGGAATGCCGTTTTTTCGAGCAACCATGGTAAAGCACCACAATGATCTAGGTGAAAATGTGTCACCAGCAACAAATCCAACTCCTCGCAATCCACGAAATCGACAAAAGGGAGTGCATCCACTCCGGTCATACCCGGATGTATACCACAATCTAGCTAGAAATGAAATGAATTTTCCATCAAAAAATGTTGTTTACTTATTTCATTGAAATGTGTGTAGTAATTAATAATGTTAAAAAGCTCCGAAAAAAGGAAAAGAGCGATGAACAAAACCTCACCAGTATTTTCTTTCCTTTGAAAGTCAAATAATGACATGACCGACCAACTTCTTGTCCAGATCCTCTGCAAACAGACTGTGCTAGAAAATACATGAATGCAGAAGTTCAAAAGTACTACTGTCAGTGACAAATATCGGCAGAATGAAGCTATGCTGTCACTGGTTTAGTTGGCCAAAGAACTTACAATGGAGTGATGACAAGAGTATCAGATAAATCGTCCGTGCTATCGGTATCCATCTTAGAATAAAATTCCTTTATTTACAGACCCATGAAGTACTTTCCTATAAATCCATTCGAATAACGCACACTATTTCCTTTTTTCCTCTAAAAGATTTTCAGATATTAAACTGGAGCAGAATGCTAGCGCTTGGAAATGCTGAACCTAAAACATGAAAATTCTTATGCTAGAATTGTCAGTCTTCCCACTAATTTTGGGAGCGTGGAATGTTAGCGCTAACATCTCACTCTCTCAAAATTTTGAGATTCAAATCGGAAGACTGATTTAGTCATTCCATTCACCCACCCCCACTCCACTTTCTGTACCACCTTTATGACCTTCATCACCCTACAATCCCCAATCTCCATTTACAACCCTTCAGAATTTCAACACCGCATCGCCCTTAACAAACCCGACCCCTTTCGAAGTTTTCAAGGCATCCTTCTTAAAATCATTTCGATTAAATCATCAGACTATGGTCGGTGTGCAATGTCACATCCCAATCCTCATTTGCTATGCTGCACAACACTCAGAATAACCCCTCACAACGTCGACTTCTATTGTCCCTCAAACAAATTCCCAAACTATTATTTTTTTGCCCTCCCTCACCTCCATTTTCCGGCATAATATCCTATTTCGAAATATCACTTCGATCAATCTGCATGCTCAACCAATTGCTCTAGTCCACAGCATATTTTGCAATTAATAAACCGAAATATTTATGCAGAATATACTTCATATAAGTATATATATACATATATATATATATATGTATATACACATATATATTACATAAAGGCGAAAAACTAAAGTAGAAGGTTTCGATCAAATGATCGCTATAATGGCAATAATCATGAAAATGAAGCAAGGTTACCGGAAACAGTAATAAAGTTATGCAAGAATTCATGATCAAAATAAAAAAAAATAGACAAAAAAGACTGCTGATAATCTTATCCCGATGGATGTTGTAGAGTTAGTAATGATAAATGATAAGAGTATAATGATGTCGAGGGAACAAACACACACACGGACACACAGACACACAGACACACACACACACACACACACACACACAATAAGACGCTACTGCAGTAAGAGAAAGAGCACAGAGAAAATAATCGTAGACATAAATTACTGAAAACCAGTCACTAATAAAATGTATGATAAAAATAACAGTAACGTACGATTCTCAAACATAAACAAAGCAACACTGATTTTTAATCATCGGTACAATTCTACAAGTTAGCAACCATATTCGTAAGAAACAATGATAATACTCGTGGCTGTGTAACACATATAACAATAACAAAAATACAAACTCTGTTAAACTTTGAAAAAATACAAATATCAGATAAAAATCTTGTATAAATAAGTGGCATACAAAACACTGAAATATCAAAATTTCAACGAGTATATTCACATAGCATACAATTATCATCACAAGTTCAGAAAAAAAACGAAGAATGGGAAATACAAAGTTTCAGTTGTGCACGAATGGTACTACTTAATCAGCCACATTTGTCTCAGAGATGAATAGTAATGAATGTAACATATTTTGCACAAAAATCGAATAGGGCTATGATTTTGGGACATATATAATTATTTTAAAAAAAGCAAATGTGGAACCTGAATGTATAAACAAAAATGTAAACAAAATTGTAAAATCATTATATATGCATTTAACCTGC